TTCATGGTTGCTGAGTACAGTAGTTCATAGTAAACATCAGTATGCCACTAACCTCTTATTAGTGTTGATTCTTCTGGATGTCTGATTTAGTTCAGGCTAGGTTATAGTCATGTGAACTAGAATTATCTGGATTAACTGTGTAATCTGAGTCAAACAAGCAAAACAAAGTTGCAGCCATTGTGACATGATCTTCCTGGTTTCAGTCATCCTTGTTAAACTGACGTCAAATGAACAAAAACCCACTGGCAAATGTTCAAGCTGGGCTAAACACCAATGACTCTTTCTCAATGAACTTGTAACACAAGGCTATGCCGGAAAAGACATGTACCCAACAGAAAAATATTGACATGCTACATGATTGATTAAGGATGAATTCTAATGCCTTGCTTGGAAGGAATCCGAAAGGAGAGTAGGATGGACTCTTTGTCTTTTTGAATCTTGTCTGTCACGGTCAAATCCTCTCACAACTAGAAATGATGTTGGGTGTAGCATATTAACTTGGAACTTACTACCCCTGAGAAGGTGTGTAAAGCTAGGTGATCAATTACCAAGCAAACTTTGTATTTCTCTTGACATGTTTGTGAGAAAAAAATCACAACACAGAATATTAATAAACAAGGACATGAACAATCCCAAAAAGTAAGTTAGATTCCAAAGACAGTGAGTCACTATTAGCAACAACAACATCAAAAATCTCCAGCAAGATTATTTTGTCTAAAGTAAAGAAACAGTAATTCTTTTAATTCTTCTTTAGTGGCCTCAAAATAAGACAGAATTTTTCAATGTGCCTTTCTCCAAGGAGAGCAACTTGAACATTGCAGAAACATTGGTTATCCAAGGGACAGCATTACACAATTATGTGTCAATGGTACTCTGTGACCTTTATCCCCTTCTGGAGCTCCAGATATATTCCTCTGTCAAGAAACAGAGCTTCTCTATAGTGAACCATTTATCTGCTTGGCTGTGACAAGTCTTATGTTCTAGGATATATGCAGTCTAATCTGTAGTAAAAAGTTTAAGGCAGTAAAAAGTTTAGAAGCCCATCCAGATGAATATTTATGGCCCTCTGTGTATGGGAACCACAGAAGATTATGTACCACTTAGGTTGGCTGCTCAGAAGACCACTCTATCTAATGAAAGGTCATGCTGCTATGATCTAAAGGAGAAAAATCTAAACCTATAACAGCATTTTTCACACAGTCTTCGGGTATAGGCAAGCTTATATAAAGAGATCCAGCAAACCACAACTTCAAGTTTTCTTTTTGGTTCTTTTCTCTCTCCCTGCTCAAATAAAGAGGCAATAAGAGATTCTGGACTCCTAAAATGAAGAAATAAACAAAAATATTTTGCAATATTAGATAAGTAGAAACAATAGAAAGACATTTTATTTTATTTTTTGTCCCAGGACAAATATTATTATGACTGAGTTATAATTCTGATGCAGTTGACAGCAATGCATCAATTGAGGGAAAAATTAATTTAGAATAGATCACCACACTGTGTTTGAAAAGAGAAAAAGCAAAGTCAGAAGCATCAGCTCTTGTTCATGCACACACAGGTTATTAAACTAAGGTCAGGAATATGCCTTGAGTCCAGAAGCTGAGCTGAGTTCCCAATCTCAGATAATCCAAACTAAAATAAATAAATAAATAAAAGTTTTCTAACAGTATTTCCTACTTCCCATCATTATGACCTGGACGTTAACTCCAGCCGGTTTTTGCCAAAGACAAATAATTCTGGAATGCATATTTTCTTTTGTAGTGCCTTGGAGACTCATGCATAAGCCTTCTGATTTCATTATTCTCACAGCAGGTACCACAAGATGTGTGAGAACTAATAGTTCCATGACAAGTATACAATGATTCATGTTATTTTACTTTTGATCCTGGTTAAATTATAGGATTATTTATTACTTTGTCAATTTCTTATTGGTGAGATCATACTGTAGAATTTTTGCTAGAAATGGTCTGGCAGTAGAATTACAGGTTTTGTATCAGTTTTCAAATACATAGTTGAAAGCACAACTCTGAAGTAGTGTTCAATTCCAGCACTTGTTAATATACTAAAAGTAATTTTTGGCTGTGTTGAAACACCCAAGTGCTATATAGATTCAGTCACATTATACATTGGAACAAAATAATGTATATGGATTTTTATACATTCACCATTTTGAGTGTAGTTGGAACTTTGTCTCTCTTCTTTCTGTCTACATATCCCTCTGTCTTTGTGTTTTATCTTTTTGTCTTTGTGTTTTATCTTTTTGTCTTTTACAACTTTATCCATGTCCTTGGGTGATAAAAGAAGAGAATTAACTGCTTAGCCAGTTGAAGGGCTGTGGTTTTCCTGAAGGATTTATACAGCCCCCACGAGTAGAATCTCTCACTACAATAATGCCAATCTCTGTTAATTCCAGTAATCAGCCAACAAACAATTTTGAGCATAAACTCTACACCCTGTTCTGTTCTAGGTATTGTTCCTTTCTGTATGTGAAATTATTCTTTCTACATTCAAGAAGCTCCTCAAGTGGAGACATCATAATTTGTTAAAATTAATTATAAAACAAATGTTTTGTAGAGACTTTTTCAAGGTAGACAAAGAATACCAATCTTATGTAAGTTGGTAGATTTCCTTGCTGTCGCCTGGGGTTCAATGATAAATGACATTGCCATCTAGTGTCACCTTGTTTAATGCCAGGGAAAAGACCATGCATTTTGAACTTCTAAGCTGCTATGTTATCTAGATTACTACATATTTTCTTTATAATTGATGTTGCTAGCTAGACTGTTATCATGAACCTAAACAAACCCGATAGTCTGCATTGATAATGTGGTTTCTTTGTGATATAACTACGGATTACATCTGGAAGGCTTGGGCGGGGCTAGAATTATTATAATTAATGATGCTTTATGCCTTGGGAGAATTTGGAAATCAGAACTAAGAATTAAAAAAAAAAGTGTATATTATGTCAAGAATAATGAAGAATCTGAGATTTTACCCTGATTGCAAGCTAGCATGTTAGCCTGAGATTCATGGATTCTGGTAGAAGACACACGATTCCTGGATTAGACACAAAAGATTTTATCCCTCATGCCACAGCAGGCCATGTAACATTAATGTTTACATTGATTCTCCTTGACACACCCGCCTCTATCCTTTCACTGTCCATGAAACACAAATCATTTATTTTAACCATTGATTGCCACATATTCTCTTCTCTTTCTAGACTATTTAATTCACTTAGATACAGAAGAAGAGTAAGACTCAGTTTGTGAATAAATCCCACTTAACCAAATTCCTAACATTTGTTTAGAGTACCTGGAACATATGAAGAAAAACACTTCATAAATTCCCAAACATAAAGAGATACTTTTGACTAACATAATACTTCTAGAACCCTTAAGTAGCCTGAGTTTTTCTCCTACTTGCAGACCAGCAAGGTGATTATAGCCATCAAAGCTGTGTGCTATTGCATTGTCTTTTTATTTTAATTCCTAGTGTACTTATTTATAAAGTGGAGGTAGTAAAATTCTTTGCCATATATGCCTTATAGGTTATCATAATCAATTAAGACTATGAATAAAAGCTCTTTGAAAAGTGAAACTGCACACTCAGCATAAATATAAAGTGGTATTGTATTATTGTTGTTAATGTTGTTGTTACTTTGGTCAGCGTTGTTGTTGTTTAAAATAAATCTTCCAAGTTCTTAGTTGTTAAAAGTCAAATAAAATACATCTTACAAAGATACATCTCTACTTAAACTGTTTTATTTGGGAAGTAATAATTGCAGTTTGGGGCACACCCACAGACTAGATAATCTTCTATATGGCCGAAAAACAAAGAGAAGGTTGGAAGTTTTCTAGAAAGCAGAAATGTTGCACATTGTTTTGCAAGAAAGCTTATTGGCACTATTAAAGTTTTGGGGAGCTCACAAACTCCAGTGAGTGACAGAAGTGAGTAAAACTAGTTTTAGAGCTGCAGCAGGTTGTTTCAGTAGCTATTCAATAAAACTGGTTTCAGGTTAAAACAAGCAATTCCAGCATCCAGGCTTGCAGAGAATTACATTCTTCCAGCATGATATGTGCCCTGAGTGATTTTTCCCCTTCACTTCTCCGTAGTGTTTTAGTTTTACATGGCACAAATATCCCAACTTACGTGATCAATATTCATCTAGTAGAATACTTGTTGTCAGAAAAATTTAAAATTTTCTTTTTCTCAAAAATGGCTGTCACCATAATATTTTATATTTTCCATTAAGTTAAATGAGACAATATTTTGTTAGTATAGCAAAATTTATTTGTGTGTCTGTTCAATTATAGTAAACTTTATAAGTATCACATATTTTTGAATTTAAAGCATGTAAAATTTTAGGACATTATTTTTATTGTATATATTTAAGGTGTGCAACATAATGTTTTAATATACATAGTGAAATGGTTACTATAGCTTAATTAATATGCCCGTCATCTCTCATAGTCACTCTTTAGTGTGTGTATGTGGTAAGAACACCTACAGTCTACTCTCAGCAAATTTCCAGTGCATATTTTAATGCAATATAATAACTATAGTCTTTGTATTGTACCTTGGTTTTGTAGACTTATTCATCCTACCAATCTGCCACTTTGCACTCTTTAACCTACATCTCCTCTTTTCCTCTTCACTACCACTTTATTCTCTGTGTATTCAACTGAGAAACTGTGAAATGCACACACACACACACACACACACCCCCTTACCTACCATCATATATATATAATGGAATATTACTCAGCCTTTAGAAAAAGCAAATTCTGTCAATTGCAACAACTTGGATGAACCTGGATGACATTGTACTCAGTAAAATAAGCCAGACAGAGAAGGACAAATACCTCATCCCACTGATACGTGGAATCTAAAACAAACAAACTAGACAAGATTTAAATTTTCATGGACTGACTATAGCTAGCATTGTTCATTTATCTTGTTTTTTTGTTTTTGTTTTTGTTTTTTGTTTTTAACTCTAGTTAACCCTGGAGAAGCACTACCTCGCATATGTAAAGCTGGAGAATTTCGCTGCAAAAACAGACACTGTATCCAAGCTCGGTGGAAATGTGATGGCGACGATGATTGCCTAGACGGAAGTGATGAGGACTCAGTAAACTGCTGTATGTTCTCCTTCAAGTCACCTAAAAACTGTATTTTCCCGAGTCTTTGAGTGTGTGAATTATCAAGGCAGTTTGTGAAAATCCGAAAATATCTTAGATGCAAATTCACCTTAGTTTAATTTTTCATTCATCCTTTTGCATAAAGAGTAGACCATAGATTGCCTTCTTTGCATAGTTTCAAAGCAGTTTTTCTCATCCTTTTCCATACTTCATATTATCATTTTAGTTGCTCTAAGAATTTTTTCCTTTTATATTCCATGATATGAGCACCACCACGCCACTGACAGAGGTTGCTATAGGGAAATTCTTTGGATTTTGGAATTTAAAGATGTGGAAAATCAATTTAAACTCCCTCAAGACAGAATTACTGGTACAGAAGGTCACGATCCACTCCACTGCTCTTTGGCAACAGAGTCTTGAAGAAGATCCAAGGAAACAGACATGGTTTGGAACGTGTTACTATATAGTTTCACTGGCTCAGGACATGGTAGAAAACACATATGGGCACTTAGAAATCAAGGTTTGATTTTCCCCTCTTTGGCTTATGTTTAATTATTTATCATCTGCTGGGATAAGAATAGTTCTATGTTGCTAGTAGGCATAGGAAAATTTCTCACATACATGTTAGGAAAACATTTGGGGAAATACATTAAATAATATTTTGAGAATATGTTTGATTAGAGTCACTAGCTAAGTGATTTTGAGAGATATAAAATATTTTATATGAAAAGAAGGCATGTGTTGAACAAAGTGATCCTTGATCTTTTTACTTCATCTAAGTACATTGTTTTTAAAACTTTTTTCCTTTCAATAAATGATTGAAAGAAAAGGTTTAGGTCTGAACTAATGAGATCAGTTGACAGTCCTTCATTTCCTTTTTTGTTTTTTAATTAAGAATATACAAATAAAGTTTTAAAGATCTTTTTTAAGAATGGGCAAAATTAGTCTGGGCATCTGTGTTATTCAAACATTAATGCTTTAGGACAAAAATCTCAAGAATATGAACTTTAAAAAATATTTTCAAATTGTATACTAATACATAATACATAAATTATAATAAATACATAAAGACTGTGTTTTCTAAAATCAGGCCCTGACATCCACATTATGTACTTCTTATTTTCAGCCCCATTAATATCTGTCTTGCAAAGTTTGAATCCCCAAAAAAATATCAAATACTAAATTGATACAATTTGTCAAGAGTTTTGGAGTGAGAGGAACATTTCATCTGAGGGTAAAGGGTATTTTTGCCCTACTAGTTTACATAAATGAGTATTATTTAGTGATTAATTGCCTCATTTCTTGACTCACAATCAGAACTGTTATTTACTTATTATTACTTTTAAGACTAATCAATCAAGTGCAGTAGTAAAAAGGGAGGAAAGAGTAGAACAAGGAGTTTGATTTGTAACTGAATGTGAAGAGTCTCTTGTGATAACGCATTACCTTTGCACCAGCCTATTTGTGGCGGTGATGAATGTGCCCTATATATGAGCTTCCTCTGTAGTCAACTTGAAATGCCTGAGCAGAGTGCAAATACTGCATCACAATATTCATGTATTGGTTCCTTTGGTCCACGTTTTCATCAGTGTGACTTGTATTTTCTAGTAAATTAACAAGAAAACTGACCTCTTCTATGGGTAGAGGGAGCATTGCATTTGTACTGTTAATTAGAGTGTTAAAAGTTCTAGTCAGTCATTTTATCTTACTGTCATCCCTCTTCATTTCATCACCCAAGCCATGTTTTGTTGTTGTTGTTGTTGTTGTTGTTGTTTTTCTTCCTTGAGAACTCTCTTTTACCTACAGTCCACACTCAATTGTATAAATAAATCCTATTTCTTCTACTTCCTAAATAATTAATTTTTTTATGTTTACCTTCTCTCAATTTCTATTGGCTAATAGGCTTTCACCTTAGATTAACTCAGAAAATGGCTTTCTATTATGCCTGCCACTAATCCTCCCTTAACTTTAGCCCACTTTCCACACTATTTTCAGAACAATATTTATAGAATAATATCTATTCTTATAATTTCAATAACTGCATGACCAAAAAACAAATTTTATAATCCATTGACTCACATATACAATACTTCCCGCTCTGTCTTGTATTTACATTTTTAGTCTTTAGTCTATTATGCATCCACTTGCCTTTTTATTTTTATCAACTTGAACTATAAATCTCCAAAACATGTCCTGTTTTTCTACTCTGCAACACTGCACTGACTGTTTTCTGTCTAAGGAATTCAACATAGCCTACCATTACCTTCTTAGGAAAATCTTTTTTGACTATCAAAAAATCTTCTCAATACAGTCGTTTGGAGTTAAACATTCATCTCCTGTACAATTCTTTATTATAGTAGTTGCCAAACCAAATTGCAATTATTTGCTTACTTATTTGGGGCATCTCATAGATTAATATGTTCTTGAGAAGACACCTTATGTTGTAGTGTTATGTAGTCTTTGCGTCTAGCACAGGGCCTGGCACATGGATGAGTGGGTAATTAGATAAGTGAGGCAATAAGCAGTTACATACCTCTGACCACCTTCCAGCACTATGTCATTTTCCCTAAGCATTGCGGTGATGCTGAGCAACATTTTATTTCTGAGATCTCATGGTTAATATTGTAATACTACATAGGTAATTTCAGAGGATTATTTCAAATCTTAAACACCCATAATCTGCAGCCTTGAATTTTGTTATTCTTTCTATTCCTTCAGTGTTTCAACTCCAAACCAAAAGGTGTTTGAATTCCCATTTATTACTTTATTGGTGAAAATTGCAAAAGTCCTTGATTAAGCCTCACTGAATGTATATGAATCTTGGTATTTTAAATTGTTGGCTCTCTACTACATCAGATGACTTTTATTTTTCTCAGCAGTTATTCTTGCTAAAGTCCCTGAAGTGAGTAGAAAATGTAAATCATGCTCAAATACCAGAGAATATGAAGCTTTTTATCCCGGTTTCTTTTTTTTGTTTTGTTTTGTTTTTTACTATACATCAATAAAAACTTATTAAAAAGTGATAAAACCACTTATCAACAAAGCTACTTTAAAAAAATGTTTTATAGAAACTAACTGGAAATGCACACATTCACTATGCAACAAACATGATACCATGATAAAATGATATTTTTTCAAATTCTCAGTAAAACGAATATAAACATTTGTTTTTATCATACAGAAGTGTAACTACTGGGCATAAAGAAAATAACCCTAAAAACAGTGTTGAAATTGTGAAACACATATTGAAGAGCATGCCAATTCAGTTAGGAGGTTAGCCTCTGGAATGGAGGAAAAATAATCATAGAAGGTTAACATTAAGATGGGCCTCCTATTGTGCTTAGATATTGGACATTTAATCCTTAGCTGTGCACTGCTTCCCAGATGAGGACTGGTCACCTCCTACGTATTTTCTGTGGTTGCATGTTTATTTGTTTGTACTAGGGAAGAAAAGTCATGATGATTTTTTTTGGTTTTGTTTTTAAAATAATACAGAATCTCATAGTTAACATCAACTTTAGGTCACAAGTGATACATTTTTCTTTTCTGTGTTTTTCCTTCCATTCCCAAGAAACACTGGACAGAGAGTAATAAATGTAGGCTTATTTAGTATGTTAAGAAATATTTGAATGGTTATGTGGTTTAAAAAATATTTTTAATATATATGACTAAATTATTTTCAATACAGACTTGTTATGTTTAACATTAAAATTTGAGGTTAATTTTAAATGTTCTTGATAAAAATTTTTAAGTGGCGTCTCCAGTTGGTATAAGGAATGAGAAAACAAACTTAGTGATACAGTTGGTTTTATTTTTATTTTTTTAAGATAGAATTTCACTCTTGTTGCCCAGACTGGAGTATGATGGCACAATCTCTGCTCACTGCAACCTCCGCCTCCCAGGTTCAAGTGATTCTCCTGCCTCAGGCTCCTGAGTAGTTGGGATTACAGGCAAGAGCCACTATGCCTGGCTAAATTTTTTGTATTTTTAGTAGAGACGGGGTTTCAACATGTTGGCCAGACTGGTCTTGAACTCCTGACCTCAGGTGATCCACCCACTTTGACCTCCCAAAATGCTGGGATTACAGGCATGAGCCACCACATCCAGCCATACAGTTGGTTTTAATGGAGACATAAAAAAACAATACATTTCCTTTTATTTACGATTTAATTACTTGATGTTTTCTGTAAAAGCATTACATTTTAACAAAGTGGATATTAGTATTTGCTATTAAATATAAGGCAATGAATGACAGAATCTATGGCATTTATTGTACTGTAATATTATTATTACTGTAACTTTTCTGTAACTCATTCAAAACATTCACAACTTTATTCAATTTTAAATGATTAAACTTGCTTCCTTCTCCCTCCTAGTCAATCATAGCTGTCCTGATGATCAGTTTAAATGCCAGAATAATCGCTGCATCCCCAAGAGATGGCTTTGTGATGGAGCTAATGACTGTGGGAGCAATGAAGATGAATCCTATCAAACTTGTGCAGGTAAAGCTTTGCTTGGATATACACATAAATCTCCAAAGTTAGTCTTCATAAAAATGCAAGTCAATGCTTTGAACTGAGCTGAACTTTCCTAGTGCTGATGATCTGATTATTACAATAGTAAATGAATTCAGAGTTTGATGCCACAAAGACTAGAATACAAATTATCTTTTACTTAATCTTTGGATATTACTCTGCTTTCCAAACTAATTTGGCACTTCATCTATCCATATGGGTTGACTGTCGACACACTACTTGTACAAGACTTGTCCCTACTAAATCCTACTTGGCAGTGGAGGTTGATGTTTGCTAGCATGCTGTAATATAGGCCATCTCACAAGGAGGACTTTTTTTTTTTTTTTTTTTACCTTGAGAAAATAATTTATAAATTTTATTTAGTCTACTATAGAATACCTCTGTGAATAGTTTTCTATTCATGCACATTATTTATGTGAGGTAAATTTTTTCCCCCATGAAATCTCAAGACCATTAGCCTATTTATATTTCCATATAATCTATTCTATTGTCATAAATCTTTGAATCCCTAGCCAGATTCTCATTGAATGGAAATATACAGCTTGTGGTATAGTTTACAACGGGGTATCAGAAAGGTCATTATTAATCAGATAAACGTTGAAAAATGATACTGACTAGCAGCAGCCTAGTGTTTCTTTTTAAATGATAAAGAAAAAAATAGTGTATTTGATGGCTCATATTGATATGATTCATAAAAATTGATTTTGTAAACCATTACGTATAGCAACATCATAACATATCAACCACCCATCAACTCTTTCTGTTTTTGCCAACATAAGCCTTACTCAATAACAAGTATTATAATTTACCAGTGAAAAATACAGGGCAGCCTCTAGAGTAAAGACCCAGGGGTTGAGAAGACTGGTTTCCACTCTTGGTCACTACCAGTTTTTTTCTTGGAAAGACATGCCTCTCTGCACTTTTGATTTCCTTGTGCATTTTTTTTTCCCCCAGCATGGTAAGAGTATGAATTAACTAGAAATTGGTTCCAGATTTTCCCTATGCACGAAACAACACCGACAGGAGCAAAACAGTCACTGTTCCATAATCCTAGTCTGTGTCTTCTATTCAGCTTTTTACATAGTGATAAATTTGCTGAGGATCCATGGGCCAGTTATTCTCTTGGCCCCTGATTAAAAACCTCATCTGACATTTTAGGGTAAATGAATTTTTTGCAAGATCTTTTTGTCTCACAACAAATCTTTTGTTTTACAAAAGGCTTTCTAAGATAAAAGGACCTCTAGAGGCCATCAAGTCCTAAGTCCCTACCCTCCAGGCTGTCCATCTTATAGATGGGCACGGGAGAGGGAACTTGCCGAAACTTACATCACTGGTAACAGATCAGGGGAAACGCAATCCAAGAGTTTTGTCTCCAAGGTCATTTCTCTTTATCCCAAATATTATTATCCTGCATATTAGCTAGAATTTTAGGTATGGCCAGTTTAACTTAAGCTACTCTTGCCATATGACTATAATTTTTAATAAGACATCTTTCTAAATGAGTGCAATTCTTCTTCTTTCTATTTTTTTTTTTTTTTTTTTTTTAGACATAGTCTTGCTCTGTCTCCCAAGCTAGAGTACAATGGCATGATCTCAGCTCACTGCAACTTCTGCCTCCCAGGTGCAAGCAATTCTCATGCCTCAGCTACTAGAGTAGCTGGGACTAGAGGTGCATACCACTATGCCTGGCTTTTTCATATTTTTAGAAGAGAACAAGGTTTCACCATGTTGGCCAGGCTGGTCTCAAACTCCTGGCTGCAAGTGATCTGCTCACTGAGGCCTCTCAAAGCTTTGGGATTACAGGTGTGAGCCACCATGCCTGGCCCAATTATTATTCTTTTGAGATTAAGATTCAATTCAGAGGCTATGCTTTATAATATCCTAAACAAACATCGCTTTCACTTTAAAATTGAAGGCATTGCTGGCTCAATTTATGATACTATGTTTTCTTCATTTCTGTTAGATTTTTTAAATCTGCTTGTTTCTACATGGTTTTTAAAAAAGCATTTGTGATTGGCTAGCTATTTATAGTAGTAAAAGTAAAAATGTTTATGTATAAGAGCAAATAAAACAATTTTAATTATTAGTTGGTGTAAAAATAATTTCTGCTTTTGCCATTATTTTTAGTGGCAAAACCACAATTACTTTTGCACCAACCTAATAATAAGATACCTAAATTACTCAAGTCCTATGGTCTACCAAGAAATAGAACATAGCTTACTTAAATGACACTTTAAGTGCTGCCAGATGAAGTCTACCACTCACTACTAGATCTTTTTGTCAGTATACTTATGACAGCTGTTATAGTCACTGGACACCTTAAGAACTTTAATAAAAAGAACAAAGATAAAAATAAATATGTCTTTTGCTTTGTAAGCAATGAAGTACATAGTCCTGCTACAATATACTTCCATTTCACTTCATCAAAATATATAAATAGGTCACATAGCTTACCATACTGGAAAAAAAGGGTACATTTATATAGACCATACTTCTTTCTGAATTTCAATCCATTGCTAGATAGAGGTGAATGCATGGACATATATGCTAGATAAAAAGACTTTCCAGTGGGGAATTACTTTGTTATTGAATATTGAAAATGGCTACCATCCTGTAGCCATTTGCATTGTGATTACTTTAAAAGAAAACCCTTGTATAATTTATGAGACATCTTTCTAAACGAGTACTACTACTCTTTTCTTCTTCTTCTTCTCCTTCTCCTTCTTCTCCTTCTTCTTTTCTTCTGCCTCCGCCTCCTCCTTCGCCGCCGCCGCCGCCACCGCCTCCTCCTCCTCCTCCTCCTCCTCCTCCTCCTCCTCTTCCTCCTCCTTTTGGACAGAGTCCACAATAAGCCAATTTCCTATTTCTTTAAATTTCTACTTCATGAATTTATTTACTTCATTAAATATCTACCAAGGCACGGGTGATAGAATGAAAGAAAATACACAATGTCTTTCCCCAAGAAACTAAGAGTGAAGACTAGGAGAAAGAAGTGTAAACAGGCCATTCTAATGCAGTATTCAAAGTGTTAAATTGATCCACATGGAAGCACATAGGAAGGGTATGGAATACAGTCTTTAGCTATCTGGGAGTACTTCTTGAAGGAAGCACTGTCTAAGTTAAACCTTATAAAAAGCTTAAGAAAAATTCCTAAGTGACAGTTGCAGCCATTCAATTAGAAGAAATAAAATAATCTGGTAAAACATGGCATTGGCAATACTGTGGAAAAAAGAAATTGTCATACGCTCCTGCTGGGTGTGTGAATTGATTTTCTATCTTGGAAAGTGATTTGGCCAAATTCAATAAATGTGAAGATGTGCATACCTTCAATTTTGTAATTATATTTCTATGTTTATAATCTAATACCTGTGCATGAAGAGAGAGACGTGAATAAAATTTTTCATTGTCTTGTGCTGTAATAGTGAAAAACTGAAACAATTAAAATGTCCATTAACAGAAGAATGGATAGGTATATTGTGTTCTATTCATGGAATGCTGTTCATAATTAAAATATCTGAACAAGAACTCAAATATCAACAAAAATGAATTTAAAAATAAAGTTAAATTAGATGAGATTCCCTCATCCAAGGAAAAAAAAATAAAACACTAAATTGAAGAAAATAAACAATATCATTTATATGAAGTATAAAATATAAAATAATTTTATATAGTGTTTATGAATTCATAAATAGGAATAGTATTATAATATGCCCAGATATAAAAAAATAAAAACAAATTAAGAAGATTAGTTACCTCTGGAAAGAGAGGGAGGGAAATGTGATTGAGAAAGATTATGTAGGAAATTTCAAATATAAGTACATATATTTTTTCTTAGATAAAACAAAAATAAAAATCTGTAACAAATGTAAAAATAAATAAGATTTGATATAGCTATGTAACAGTAAACTGATGCTAACGATATTTTTTCCTTTACCTTGCTAGATGGTAGAAATGTTTCACTAGAAAAAAAAAGAACAATTGACCAGAGTAGATTATCCAGGGTGGGGTGAAGTGAATAATAAGAGAAAGGGTTGGAGAATTTGCCTAGAAGAGGAAATAGCACATACACAGGGGGCTGGAGTAAATGGACACAGTCAGGGTCTTGGGAGCCATTCTCCATCAACATCCAGCATATTGTTGTCTACTCATGAAGGAGACCCAGAGACTGAAGATGAAAAGTAGTTAGATTTGAAATTATTGTTCCTCATGGAAACGTGATCATTCCTTATATTCAAGCCTAGACAATTTCATATCAACATTTCACCCCACCATAGTGCTCTGGTTAGATTACATAATATTTGCTCTTCTCACATCCTCTACCAATTATAACTAAATTCATACTAGATAAATATAATTGATTGCAAAAAAACCCTAATGTATTTAAAAATTAGACTTCTCTTTACAAAAGAATGAGTGCATTTTGATATGACATTAAATACAGCTAAGTAGAATGCTTTGATTACAATACAGCAAAAGTGAAGTTTAAGAATAGTGCTATGCTCTAGTCTCTTCTTGACTGTATAGTTTGTGTGCCTTGTGAGAGTTCTCACTGTTACGTGGCTACAGGAGAAGCATGATTACACTGAATCTCTGATTCAGCAGCTAGACAAACAATTCTCTTGAAGGATGTGTAAATTTCTTCCTCCTTAGAGCAGCATGTGCTACAAAATTAGAGTCCTATGGGGCTGCTCTGCTAATCTTGCCTCCAAACTAACTTAGGTCTGATGGAGACAAGAGATGAAAAAGTAAATGTTGGGGTTTGTTTTCAGAAAAATTCATTGATTAGAAAGTGATAATTTAGTCAACTTGATTATATCACATAAACAGTCCTTGAGGGTTTGTGGAATGAAGCATCTTTCTCATCTGAAATCAGTTAAAATTGCCTAGTAGACTAAGTGAATAATTTTCTCCATGATTAGAACAGACGGTGAATTCATATATCTTCAGGGCATACTTTCCCTCAATAATAATCCAGTGAATACTCTTTGGAATAATAGGTCATAACAGTTCCTCCAGTTTCAGAGTTAATGAGCTAACACAAATTTCCACACCATCACAATGTGAGATGGGTCATACACAATATGAGACAGGTTCATAGAAATTCTTTCTCATTTTCCTCTCTAATCATCATAGCTTTCCTAATGAAAGAAAACAATCTGATAAAACTTTGCTAGAATTAAACCTGAATTATTAGGCAAGAATACAGTGACATAAGAATGTCAAATAAAAGAACACTGGTTTTGATAAATTTAATATATTCTTATTACGGGCCAATTAGCATTTAAGATAGAAATATGTGATAATGTTTATTTATATAAAGCAAGAAAACAGAAAAGACTGAAGGAATGAAATAAAGAATGAAGGAGGAAGAAAGGTGTGGAAAAGAAAAAAAGAGAAACAACAAGGGAAAACAAGGAAGGAAGCAAGGTAGGGTGAAAGGAAGTAAACAAGAATTGAAAAAAATGCTCTTATTAAATTTTTCTTAAAACTCAAAAGATAAATAGGTATTTATTGTAACCAGTGAAACAGAGATATGTAAGGGAAAAATTATTAATCTCTCTCACACTTCTATTTTTACCCCTTCCTATCAAGTAAACTAATGACATTAGACTTTGTGTATATCTTTCTAACTCCTTCTCTAGGTTAATACAAATACATGTGTAGTTATTTTTTTCTCAGCAGACATAATGTTATAACAATTATCTAAGAACTTTATTCATTTTAATATAGATGACAGAATAATTTACCAGAAAATCTGTAGAATTAAATGAGACAATATAGAATTATTTAATTTTACTTGTAATTTTAACATTAAAAACTATAGAAGCATATATGTTTGCTGGAATATTTAAAATCTGTTAATGTAAAATAAATGATGAATTTGTAAAATGAAAAAATCAGATAGTGCATAAAATATTTTAGACTTAGGAACCTTATCATATAAGCAAGCAAAATACATACTATAATAATTTTCCTGATATTTCTAATTTTAGACAGTAAGACTAGGAACAATCTAATGTATCAAACCAAGCCAGTAAATTTTTCATTTGTTTTTCTAGGATAATCTTTAAAATATTCACTAATAATGAATATACATCTTAAGACTGCAAGTGCACTTTTCTTAAAAGGGCAGAACAATGTATCTAGCTTATAAAAAATTATTTTCAATGATTTCTGAAGCCCTAATTCATGGAACTCATTTTAGTGTGGTTGATTGAGTTGGCTTTGCACCACTCTCTCTTATACCAACCATCAGTACCCAAGTTCACAAAGTGTTTTGAATAGACAAGCAACGGTTCTCAAACCTAGGAAAAAGGAAGTCTATAAACTCATCAAGATTCCCTTATTGTAGCCACTGACACTCAGACCCAAATTATTAATTATCTGTTCAAGCCTCACCTATCCAAAATTTTCATAGGACCGAGTATCCCTTTCCCAATATATCTCATTTTTTTTCTCTAGTCCAATGAAAGGAAAGGGTGGATGGGATATTGAGGCTCATAAAGACATATTTGTAGTTCAGAGGGACAAAAGAAACAAAAATGAAAATCAGATGATAAAAACAACGAAGCATGTCACTACCAAAGGCCTGGGGGAAGAGGCAGGGAAGCTATTTAAGCTTTCATGCTTTTAAAAGTTGCCCTGATTATACTAGAAAAGGTTTATCAAATTTCGTGTTGAACATAACCCCTTTTCTGAATAACTTTAAACCACTGCCTCCGGCTAACACAGAAAGCAAGATTCCATGTTTGTGTTCATTGAAACCCTTAAGAGAGCCCAAAGCAAAGTTCATTAATATACCTTGATTAAAAAGTCATACTTTTAAAAATAATTGTACTGAAAAATGAGTTAAAAAGAAAACATCTTAAGGCTAAATATACGTTTTAGAAATTATTTTTTTGCGCTCTCACTTCATACAGTAGATCATTTAGAGATCAAGAAATAAATGCATTAAAAATGTTAGAGGAATAGGACAATTCTGACCCCATGATTAGAAACTAGATACACTGAGATCGTCTCCAAATAATGCCTTCTACAATACTGCAAAAAAATTTTCTTGGTTTATTAGCAAATGCTATCCAAAATTCTTTTTTTGTTAATTAAGAGTCGGATGAAACTTAATTCAACCTTATATTCATAAGCACATGCTGGGAAAAATTTTAAAATAATGAATTCATAGCTTCATTTATGGAATTGTGTGAGGATTACTATCTTGTCATTTAGCAGTCATTGATAATTGAAGGGCAAAGCATGTGAACTTTAGAGAAGACAAGCAAGCTGGTATTCAGAAGTCTTAAATAAAAATGGACTTTTAAAATATTTTAATAGAGAAATATACTATCTTATGTATGAAAGGATGTTGCATGCTTAATTATATCCTTGATGTTCAAAAGGCCTCTAAATTGATTTTTTTGTATATTAATTGATCATCACAGCCAGAACATGCCAGGTAGACCAGTTTTCTTGCGGAAATGGGCGTTGCATTCCCAGAGCATGGCTGTGTGACAGGGAAGACGACTGTGGTGACCAGACAGATGAAATGGCATCTTGTGGTAAGTTGTGAGTGAAACATGTTGTTAGTAGAGATTGTGTCAGATACTATATCCTATCACTATACCCTCCTTAAAGAGCTATTTATATCTTTATGACTACAGGTAAAATAGACAAAGGATATGTCACTTTCTGTTACAAACTTTTGGACCTGAATGTGCGCTTTAATGATAACTTCTGAATAATTCCTATTTGTGCGGTAGAAACAATATTCTCAGCAAAAATAAATGGATTTAAACATTGCAGATTTTATTAGGAAGTGGTTATTACATGGCTAACAGGACAATCTCCAATGTTCATTATTAATCTTATGTCTGTAGTGATTAAACTTGTCAAAGAGAGTAGTTCATGGGGTAACATTTAGGGTAAAGGAGGAGGACGTGTTTCTTATTGGCTTGTATATGTTATCTTCTGGGAAGAATAAATGATTCAGATTGAGACTACATAATTGGTAAATCATTGTTTTCATTTCTGTACAGTCGTATGATTCTGACTGACAAACTCAGTATTAGTTTAAGATAATATTTTTGTTGATGGCAAAATTCCCACTTTGCACAGATTCTCTTACTTTTGAAAATAGTAAAAATGTATTGTCACATCAAGTTACAAATTTAATTCCTCTCATTGTACTCATGCATCAGTATGTTTCATATAATTTGTCTCAGTAATGTCTAGTGAAACACAGTAACAGAATGAACCAGGATTTCTAAGACTTGTGCTTTATTTCAGTCATGGCAATAGATTTTTTTAAATTATGGGAAAATTGTACCCATAATTTAGACATGTATAGTATATTTATTAAAATATAATGCAATAAGTATACATTTTAATAATTTCACACTTATGCTTTTAATAGTAGAAAAATAAGGTTTTTAACCCTTCTGTTTATTATTTTTTCTTTTTTTTTAAATTTCCATAGTTTTGGGGGTACAGGTGGTTTTTGGTTATCTGGGTAAGTTCTTTAATGGTGATTTCTAAGATTTTAGTGCACTCATCACCGGAGAGGAGTACACTGTTCTCAATATGTAGTCTTTTATCCTCTACCCCTTTCCAGCTTTCCCCCGCCAAGACCCCACAGTCTATTACATCGCTCTTATGTCTTTGCGTCCTCATAGCTTAGCTCCCACTTATAAGTGATAAGAAAACAATATTTGGTTTTCCATTCCTGAGTTTCTTCACTTAATATAATGGCCTCCAGCTCCATCCAAGTTGCTGGAAAAGACATAATTTTATTCCTTTTTATGGCTGAGTAGTATTCCATGGTGTATATGTACCACATTTTCTTTATCCAGCCACTAGTTGGATGGGCACTAATGTTGGTTCAGTATCTTTGCAATTGCAAATTGTGCTGCTCCAAACGTGTGTGCATGTGTCTTTTTCATGTAATGACTTCTTTTCCTTTGGTAGATACCCAGTACTGGGATTGCTGGATCAAATTGTAGTTCTACTTTTAGTTTTTTGAGGAATCTCTATACTGTTTTCCGTGGTGTTAACCTCTCAATTTAAATGCCTGTATTTGGAGGACGCTTATCTAAAATTTTCTTATGCTAGACTATTATGTCCCTGTAAACATTTGAGTATATAACCTCTGAATAAAGTATAGAAAAAGTAAGTGGTGGTAAGTGATATAGTAAAGAAGGCGACAGCAGTAGTATGGAAGAAAGCACTAGAGAACCACACAAGAGACGATAGCATATTTTATGTATATAATAGAATATCTGGAGCCTGACCAATAAAGTGGATTGAGCAGTATATTCTCTCTCTTTTCCACTATCCAGACTAACTGTGTGGTCCTAAATCTGGCTGAGTCTGCTGCTAAGTTGCTCTATATTTTAGAAAACTTGATTCCTTTCCACAGTGAGCATCCTCATTCAGAGAATACCAGAAAGGTAACGAGCACTCTAATAACATTAAATATAGAGAGGCCCTGGAATCAGAGTCTCAATTCAGATAAGAAATGTCACGAAAACAATTAGGAAAATAAAGTATGAGCTCTTTAAAGAACTTCTATTAGGTCTTCGATCAGATTTTCTCTTTTCTTTTTTTTTTCAATAGGACTAGGGCAAGACCTGTTTCTTTATTTCAATAACAATTTACTTTAATCAAAGGAGGAAAATACCTAAAATTTTAATAATAATCTAAATGACTATACCAGCAAACTTGTATATCTTTCATGAGGTGAGGCGAAGAAGGGTTGGTAGCGCTGCCAGACACATATTTTTCTGTTGAATTTTTATAATAACAAATCTATGAGGAATATTTTGTGGTTCACATATCACAGATAAAGGAATTACAACTTAGAGACTTTTAGAAACCTGCTTGAGATCACAAAGCTAGTAAATAGAAGGAACAGATTGTTAACCCAGGCATACTTACCACTAGAATCCAACCATTTTAGGCTGACTTTTTTTGTGATCCATGCAGAGGGTGCAGATAATGCCATTATACTTCACTGACTATCTGATTTAAATGCACATATACTTATAGTAGGTTTCATTCCTTGTTGTGTTGGTAAATGTTTTAACATTTCCTGGTGGGGAGGAACCCTGACGTATTGTTGGCCCATTTGTGTGCTGTAAATACTCCCACCATGGCCAATATCAAGTTGCCAACATGATTCTCTGAATGTGGAATTAGGACGATATGCAGTAACGCACTAGTATGTAGTATTTCCACTATTCAGATACAGCTGACACGAATAACTTCAAGAGCAATGTAGTAATATTATCAAGAAATTAGAAGTCTCATGTATATATTACCTTTGTTTTAAACATTATTTGTTTAATTTTACATTTATAAAAATTATTTTAAAAAATGACATGTGCTTTACAACTGGCAAATAGAATCAGTGAAAATTTAAAAATAGGCTCTCATGACCGGATGTGGTGGTTCATGTCTGTAATTCCAGCACTTTAGAAAGCCAAGATGAGTGGATCACTTGAGGCCAGGAGTTGGAGACTAGCCTGGCTAACATGGTAGAACCCTGTCTCTACTAAATATACGAAAATTAGCCAGCGTGATGGCATGTGCCTGTAATCCCAGCTACTCCAGAGGTGGAGGTGGGAAGATTTCTTGAACCCGGGAGGCAGAGATTGCAGTGAGCTGAGATTGTGCCTCTGTACTCCAGCCTGGGTGGCAGAGTGAGACTCTGTCTCAAAAAAATAAAATAAAAATAGACTCTCACAAGTTGGTACAAGAGGACTGCAGCACACAGTTGGATATGAACACATTGTAACAATTTAGCAGCTAGACAGTTTGGTTCTGAAATATAGCCAGATTTTACAGAGTATCTGTAAACTATGGATATGGGTTAGTAGCAGTACCATTTCTTCTTTACAACCAAGGAAACCTGTTTTACCTCAAACATGTTTCTCTCTTCAGTAACACACCTTTCACATTGTTATTTAAAATCAAAATTTACATCAGAAGAGAAGCTGACAAAGTCTAGTAGGCACAATTTCACTTTTAAAGTTATCATAAGAAAGAATGGCACAGATCTCTGTAATAGAAATTATCCCTGCACTGCATACAAAATGACAAGGAGTGCATTTTTTTTTTAAAGCGCTCACCCTATTTGACACTATACTATAAATAAATATAGATTCAACTCATTTCTAGTTTTATTATAAAACTCGTACTGGCCATATTTTGCTTTTGTCATCGGAATAGCCCAGATTCCCAAAGGTTTCATCCTACCGGAAGATGCTGTAATCACTTTTTTTGTTTTTACATTTCAGGTCCATGAATAATCTCTGTTAGGTTTGTCAGTGCTGTTACACATTAAAAATGATACTAAAATTTGAATTTAAAAACATGCAAAGCCTATGATTCGAAATGTTTCTGCTGGTAATTAGGTGTTGAAGGTACTGCAACTGAGGATCAAGTTTTCACTGGAATTTACTAGCATCTATTTATAAACCTAATTAATTTTACTTGCATTTGCCTTTACAAGTTAATTGCAGATTTTAGGTTGAGATTATATGTGGGCGCACATTTACATTAATTGGGAAGGCCGTCTGAGGATTCAGCTTTAATCTTTAAGCAGTTGTTTAATTTTTTTAGTAGTCTTCACATGTGGAAAGAATAATTTGTAAATTGATGATGCAAACAAGAGAAGACATATTCAAATTGTGACGCCTGTGTTGAAAGTGGACTTTGTGTCAAGGAATTGAATGGTCAATTTAATTTCAAGGCTAAGACTAACATTGTTTCTCAACTTAAGTTGTCGATAAAATAATTACCAGGGCAACTTTAAAATCACCTGCCCATGCCTCATTCCAGAGTAATTAAATAGAATCTCCAGGAGTAGGACCCAATAATTAGTATTTTTAATGCCTCCCAAATGGTGAAATGTGTGATCAAATTTGAAAACTCAAGACATACATCAGAGTCTTTTGGCGAACTTGTTAAAAAACAGAGTGCTGGGCCTCATTTCCAGAGTCTCTGATCCAGTCAGTCTCAGGGGGGCCCAAGAATTTACGTTTCTATTAGGTCGGTGCAAAAGTAATTATGGTTTTTACCAGTATGGAGAACAACAACAACAACAACAACAAAAACGCAGTTACTGTTGCACCATCCTAATAACAAATTCTCAATTAATGCTGATCCTTGTACCATGTGTATTTGATTTTATCATCTGTGAACTTATGTAACAGAAGAATGTTTCATATATGCAAAACTAATTTAAGTTGGAAGCAATTATCCTTACAAATTTCCTTCCCATATGTATTAGTCCATTTTCATGCTGCTGGTAAAGACATACCCAAGACTGGACAATTTACAAAAGAAAGAGGTTTAACTGGATTTATAGAAGCCTCACAATCATGGTGGAAGGCAAGGAGGAGCAAGTCATATTTTACATGGGTGGCACCAGACAAAGAGAGAGATTGGGCAGGGAAACTCCCCCTAATGATACCATCAGATCTCTCGAGACTTATTTCCTATAACAAGAACAGCACGGGGAAGACCTGCCCCCATGATTCAGTTACCTCCCACTGGGTCC